CTCCAAAGTAGCTGGGTCTATAGGCGCCCACCACAATGCCCAGCTAGTTTTTGTTGTTGTAGTTGTCATTGTTGTTTGGTTGGCCTGGGCTGGGGTTTGAACCCACCACCTATGGTGTATGTGGCCGGCACCCTAGCCGCTGAGCTACAGGTGCTGATCCCCCTTAACTATTTCATTGATACCTTCTCTTAATTCTCTTTGGAGAGAGAATGTGTTTTTTCAGTTTAGCTTTATTTTACAAAGAAAAAAAATATAAGCTTCATTGCAAGGTCTGGGGAACATGATTACTTAATGCAGCACAGCCTTGATAGTATTAATCCTTGATTCGCTGTGAGCCAAATGTGTAAGCTTTTGTTTTAGCAGAGGACAATGGAGAATGGTAATCCGGTCCTTCACCTGTCTCGCTTGCCAGATGGCGAGTAGGACAGGGACAGGGAAACACAAACATCCCCGGGAGGAATGCTAAAGCCACGCCCCCAGCTCGGTCACATTTCTGTTCAACCAGCCTTATAGAAATGCCTTTATAGGGCAGGACAGAAAATATAGAACTGGGTAGACTGAGAAAGCTTCTGGGAGCCCTTCCCCATAAGTCATTCCAACTACACAAACTAGTGGTAGATTATTGACCCACTGATCTACGAAACCCAGGAAAAAAATAACAGTGAGTAGATGTGGGGCAGTGTGACTGAAGAGTGGGTGGTAAGGAAAGTGTAGATGAATGACTTCCACAAATTATTGTTATTATTTCATACCAAGATCATAACCAGCTTGTGGTGGTCTTTCTTACTCATCTTTGTATAGTCATTAATGAGCTAGGTGTGGAAAAAAGTGAGGTGGGACGTGGCGGCTCACACCTGTAATCCCAGCCCTCTGGGAGTCCCAGGTGGGTGGATTGCCTGAGCTCATGAGTTCGAGACCAGTCTGAGCCAGAGTAAGACCCCATCTCTAAAAAATAGCTGGGCATTGTGGCAGGCACCTGTAGTCCCAGCTACTTGGGAGGCTGAGGCAAAAGTATTGCTTAAGCCCAGGAGTTTGAAGTTGCTGTGAGCTGTGACGGCATGGCACTCTGCCTAGGGCAACAAAGTGAGGCCCTGTCTCAAAAAAGAAAAAAATAAGACAGGGCTGGGAGGATGGGTGAAGCACAGTCTGACCAATCGGCCTGGGAATAGAGTCACAGGGGCTCAGGCTACAGCCAGGATGAAACTCAGCAGTGTTCTCTAGTTCTGTGGTTCCCAGCCCCTGAGCTGTGGATGGGTTCTGGTGTCCATGACCTATTAGGAATCAGGCCTCACAGCAGCAGCAGAACAGCAGGCAAGTGAACAAATCTTGATCTGTATTTACAGCCAGTTCCCATCCATCACTCACATCTCTGGAGCGTGAACCCCCTTGTAAGCCGCACATGCGAGGAATCCAGGTTGCACACTCCTTATAGGAATCTAACGCCTGATGGCCTGAGGTGGAGACGTAATCTGCTCAAATCATCTCCAAAACATCCCCCTCAATCCATGGAAAAATTGTTTTCCGTGCAGCCTGGTGCCAAAAAGGTTGGGGACTGCTGTTGTAGATGGTACAGTCACTCCCTGTACAGTGGGTCTATACTTTATTTTATCTTTGCTTACATTGGGACCGTGTGGAGGCTTCTGTAAAATTAGGCCCTATGCATCTTCTCCTTTTTGGCAATAAATCTCTGATGGGTAGGCAGTGGGTTCTAGGTGACACCAGTTGCCTTGTTCTTCCTTCTCTGAAGATAACTGAAGTTATCCAGCAATGTTGTTTGACTAAGGGAGAGGTGAGGAGTCTTCCTGAGCATAATTCCCACTGCTCACTGAGGCTCACCTGGGCTTTGTTTGTTTGAGCTTTTTTTTTTTTTTTTCAGAGACAGAGTCTCACTTTTTCACCCTCTGTAGAGGGCTGT